ACACACACACACACACACACACACACACACACACACACACACACACATACACACACAGACAACCCGATGACAATATGCGTTTTGTACTGCTGTTACACAGCATAAAACGCATAAAAACGAGTCGTGAAAAGACTGGTGTCCCATCGGTAAGGTCGAGCCTTCAATCTTCTACATAACAGCAGCGCCACTTCTCACAATACTATGCCTGTCAGCATTTCAGCAAAAAAGACCTTAAAAACCAAAAAGAATTAGAACTGTTCATCGAAATTAAACGGTTAAAGACTCGTTCCCCCTCCCCCCACCCCCAAATACTACCTCCTGGGTACCATGCAGCTACATTATATTCAAGTATTTCTCTCCATTCAAGTGTTTTTGCAAAGAAACTTGTATATACGCCGAAACAGTTATAAGACAACTTGTAGAAACACTTGGCTTTTTTTCTCACTACGAAAAATCCAGGCGTAAAATGAGAACTAAGCAAAACAGAATCCTCTTGAATGGAGAGTACCTTCGTTCCGATCTTCCACCACCGGTCATTGAGCCACTTGTTTCAACAACTTCGCCTTTCAACGTAACAACTCTGTAACGCTGCCTGCCTCCGATACCAATACGTGTGGCGGTAGTGATATCGTCCACTATCAGTGTATCGCGTAGTGCAAAATAAAATGCTGGCAGTACCGCTGGGTCGGTCACACGAATCAAGTCAAACAGTCGAGGAGCATTCTCGGGCCTGAAAACGAATTAAAAGAACGGCAGCATGATAACTAGGAAAAAAATTTTAACGATCCCAAGCATAAATGTGTACAAAAATTTGGAATTAAAAATTTGAGAAGTTAAATTTTTGAGAAAAAAAATAATTCTTCCGCAAAATAACAATTGAAATTAGCCGTATTCGGGCGAAAAATGACTAACGTTAAAAAATAAAGGAACTTTAATTTGCTGTAGTTGCATGCATGCATGATGGCTTGCTATGGTACAAGATGGAACCAGTCGGTAAGTACCTCACTGATTTTGAAGAAACATCGTTTGGGACGAAAATGTACGCCTAGGACCTTTCAAAAACGACCAAAGTCAAGAGAAACATTTCTGTTTGAAGAACACTTAATCCCTAGACGAAAAGAAATAAAGGATTAAGAGAAATAAAATGAAGCATGCTAAATGTAATTAAGTCAAATTGCTGATGGAGGAATGACCAAAAATTGCATGTGTATGTGAGATAATGAACAGGAGGGGGAGCGGGGTGGGGAGGGGTGAGAATTGAGTTTTTTTTTTTTAAAAAAAGAAGTCTGACCATCAAACGATGCAGCTTTGATCAAATTACTGGAACTATCAACTGTTGGAGAAAACAGGTTATAAATAATAGCTAAGCCAATCCTCAACTGCAGTAAAAAATACGTAGTGCGCACATCTGCTGTTTTCATGCTTATTCCTGAGGGCTAACACCGGGTCAACAAAGAGATGTTAAAGAAAAAACCGCTCAAAAAGAGGAAAATTTTTCTGTTAAAATATCAGAACAAATTTTCGCTTTGAAATAATTTTGTTATTACAAACTGCTAAAATTTCTGCTGTCTGCTAAATGCAAAGTATCTGATAATTTACAGCTCTGAGAAACAAATACTTTGAGCGAAAAATCAGTTTCTGTTAAATGTAACAGAAATTTGCTGAATGGTATTTATAAGGCACCTGCAAAAAGACTAATACGATTTAATGGACCGAAACATTTCTTACCTATAACAAATATTTCTTTAGACCCCTTATCTATTTTAATATTCTTTTCCTCCTTTTCACTGTTTTCTTCTTCTTCTGATATTTCCCTTTTAACCTTTAATTATCGAATTTTAAACTTATGATTATAAATGAGTTCAAAAGGTTAAAGTGAAGTTTTCTTAATAAAATTCACGCTTCGATTTTGCATAACGAATCGAAAGGAAGCGAAGCAATGAAAACATACGTTGATGAGGGTTTTTTCATGTAAGGAAGAAGCTTTTCCTGCTTGTCAAGTACCAGGAACGAAGCGATACCCAAATTTTCGCGTCTCAAGAATTCCACACACATTTGTGCTGTATCAACGGTATCAACGACAATGTAATCCAGTGGTTTACAGGTGGTTGAAATCGCCACATCATATTTCTCGTCAATAGCTCCCAAATCACCCTGCAACGACGCATTATCACACAAAAAAGTACTGAAATTTCACAAAAGAACTAGAAGAAAACAACATCCATATAAGAAATGTAGCGCAAATGAAACAGCAAATGGATAAGGCGGATTATTAAACGATAATCAAACACTGTTAACAGAACATCTTAAGAAAAATGCCAGTACTTTTTCTGAACGGTGCAGCTTTCAAAGAGTTGGCAATACATAATGAACAAGTTCATGGGTTTCAGTATATATTAATTAAAAATAAACAGCTTAAAACCCAATAACGGCCGTCTCTACTCCAGCATGTGAAAGCATTTTATCACCTACTGCGGAGCTGGAATAAGGAAAAGCGTCCGCCTTCATAGCGCCAATTTGTCGTGAACGGAGCCCTTTCTCGAAAATTGTTGTGGACCAGGAGGGAATCGAACCCACTCCACTTCATGCCAGAACGCAACGTGTTACCACTACACCACCGACCTTAGTGCCTCAAGTTCAGCCTGGCAGAACATCTACTGTGTGTCTGCCTTTCAGAGCAAGATATACCTTGATTTCCCTGTTTTTTCCTCTTCTTGGTGTCTTCTTGGCCGGCTTTTCATGGGTTTCCCGCAACACCATGATCGATGTGGTTATGTTCCTTTTTAACCGTTGATGTAACAGATTTACTTTTAGAGCATTATCTGCTAATTCTGATAAAAGTTCTTGCATTGCACTACTACACGGGCGTCTGGCTTTCTCTCGCTTATAAGAGTGATTCCCCTGGTACTTATAAGAGTGATTTCCCTGCGATACGATCGGCCATTGACGATTAGAAAAAAAGTCCCGTCGATTGATTGGTAAAGAAAGCCCTCAGCTACAGCATTACTAATACATAAAGCGTAACGGTTCTGGCAACATATAAAAGTCTATATGCAGTTTTATATATTGCCAATATACATCGTTTGCGTGAAAAAAATCACTTACAAGGCGTCCGTATATTCCTGGTATATTTCCAGACGATTTTTCCGCCATTAAACGTCTCATGACATTATTTTGGCTTCGAGATGCTTCCACTGTTTGTCGCTTCTGTTCGAACTGTGCCATATAGTGCCGAACCTGTATCATAATATCGTCTGATTGAGATCACATCACTATCACTGGGCCCACACACTGATCGTCCTAGGTGTCTTAACGATCCTGGTGGCAAAATTCATTTACAGTTGCAAAAAAAAAAAAGACAATTACTGCCATATCAGAAGAACCGTTGCACGGCTACATTCGCGTACTTTCACTGAAGAGATGGAGACATGAACGTATGGACTATGGCACATTTATGAGTGCTTTTATTTCAGCTCATTTTGCGCGTTATTTTGTGAAACAACTGCTCCTTTGTGCCACAGAAGCTGAACTACCCTAGAGGAAGCAGCCGAAGAGTAAACGGCGCGTGCGCTAAGACCTAATTCTCACACATGCTACCTTAACAACTGCATCAAGTAAACTAAACTAAAGAAATAGTTGGGTTTAACAGGTGAAAAGAAAATGCTCATAAACAATGACGAATTTAGCAACTAATAAAAATAATCACCCGAACTAATAATAATAACAATAATACTTACAAAAATAACAATATTAATGAAATTAACAATAATTATAAATAATGATAAAAAACAAATAAGTGATAATAATAATAATAGCAATAATAATAATAGTAATAACAATAATAATAATGATAATGACAATAAATGCAATACAAATTTTTAATATTCAAAAATTAATATGACTGTTTTGATAATGCAGTTTTCTAAGTTCAAGCATTAATTTACAATTAACTGACATATTCTATAATTTTATGGAGAAAATCAGCACAGATTAAAAAATCCTGCTATCATAACAAAAAAAAAAGAAGAAAAAACATTACCAAAATGGTACTGAAGAATCAGAGCTGACCACGCGAGTAAGGGTAATTCGGAGCAAGATTGAATTGCTTGTAAATTAGGTAATTTTGATTTCAAAACGAAACTACATCCAAACAAACCAACTGTGTAGCTGAGAGAAACAAACACGCAAACAGATCAACGAGAAATGAGCTAGTACGTAACGCCATTAATTGAAAAAAATTGAGAAAAAATTTTGAAAAAAATTTTTTAAAAATGGACAAACATTTTCGGCGCATTGTGCCTCTTCTCGACGTTTGTTCGTCATTTCCGACATTGCGTTCTGCAGCTCTTTTTCGACGTTTGGCATAGCTTGTCGCACCTTGTCAAGTTCACTGGAAAACAGTACTGCGTAAGAAAACCGTCATAAAAAAAAAATCCAAAAATTGGAATAACAAAAACGAACCAAAAGAGAGCTCATCCAGAATTCGAGACGGGCTATGCCCATTCAAAAAACAATTAGAGATCTGCTAGGCCGTAGTCTGACATCTTTTCAATCAGCTTAAGGAAACGATACGGATTTCAGGTTCACCGACAGCAGACCACCAGATGATGTAGCACAGGTCAAAACAAGTGGAGGAGATGCCAGTTCGAAAACTGCAGTATCCCACTAGAAATTCCAGATCATCCGAGCAAGCAAGTAAATAAATAAATATGTATGTAACATTGGGGGATCCAGGGGAGGCAAGGAGTTTTTCGCCTCTCCACCCCCAGG